ACAGACCCCTCGGTGGTGCCCGTGCGGCGGCTGCAGGGCATCCCTCCTGTGGGAACAGGGCCGTAACAGCAGCAAATAAAACCGACTGGAAAGCAGCAGCTTGATCTACGGAATGAAAGAAACCAGCTTAAAAAACTAGAATTTTAAAGAAACTTGAAGATAGATGCACTTATAAAAATACAGGCTTTTTTTTTGTTGTTGTTGTTTTACTTTCTATAAGCAAATGCAAGCATTTTCCTACCTCAACACAAAACTGGGGTTTTCCTTCTGTCATACAGCTCCATAGATAGATGTGCTTATAAAAATACAAGGTTTTTTTGTTTTACTTTCTATAAGCAAATGCAAGCATTTTCCTACCTCAACACAAAACTGGGGTTTTCCTTCTATCACACAGCTCCATGATTTGAAAATCCTGTAAGTTAACTGCCATAACTGGATCCTCCTTTTTAACGTTCTAAAAGCTTTTTAAAAAAATCTTCCAGTGCTGCTTCAGTGTGGTCCCAGGACTGGGAGCTGGCTGACAAGAGATGAGAATACTCGGGACAGATGAGTTTCTTTTCTTGCCTAAATCTTTCAGTTTCGTAAGAGTTTCAGTGTGCCCATTTTCAAAGACTTTTTCTGGAAATTACTTTTAAGTACAAGTTTAATACACAGTTGTAAAAGTTTTCTTCATAGTAGAAGCAAAGACCCGTTTGGCAGTTCTCAGTTCCAGAAACTATGTTAGTAAACCTCAGAGCTTTTGGGGAAGTTAATTTCTATTTTAAAATCTGTATCTCTTCTGTACCTATAGAATGAATGCTGTTGCAAAATATCCTTTTTCAGTGTAAGGCCTCAGAAATAACTACTGCATTTAGCTTCTCTTGAGGAAGGGAAGTAATCTAGCCCAACAGTATGTTTTTATGGCATAGAATAAAAAACTTATGCCTCCTCTATGACTCCACTCAAATGTAATTCAGAGACCAAACTGCAAATTCCGGTTGAATACAGGTGCCACAATTGCCGGTTAAGTCACATATATAAAATATAATTATGGGAAATGGGATCCTAAACATCAACTTCCAAAACCAAGAGACTACCACTTGTTTCAAGGAGAACCTCTACTAATCTTCTGTAAGAGGTGGTTGGATCTTCAGCGTCAAGCAAGAAGTGAAGGAGAACAGGGCTTTCTAGTTCTGAGGTTTGAGTCGATTCCAGTTTTTACAGGCTATGCTATGCAATCATCAAGAGATAGCCCTTTCCCTGAGGCCAGTGGGCATGAGCTGTCATACATATTCACATGGATCTTCTCTAATATTCACTGGAACATAGGGGAAAATATTTTGGGTTTATGGTTAACCTCAAAAAAGAGGTCAGAATCAATCAGGGAACCATATTAAATCAGCCAGGACACAAGGATGACAAACTTTAGAGCTGTCAATAAAAGGAACTTACTTCCTACTCCAACATAACAACTATTTAACCTAGATTTTATTTTCTAAAATAAAATGAACTATGTACAGCTAATCAAATGCTATTGTTTATACAGAACAGTTGTAATCTAGTAAAAAAAGCTCCTTTAAAGATTTCGCTCTTTGATATACTTAAGGTTGATTTGAGAAGTTTGAGCCAATAATAAGCAAAAGCAAACTGTAATAATGAAGGAAGTATCCAGAAGGATGAGGGAAAGTATGTCCATGAAGATATGGGATAGGAAATTGAATGCAATAGTTTTAAAATTAAAATCAAATGGATAATTCACTAGCATTGAATGAACAATCATTTAATTCTTAGAAGTGGAGGTGACAGCCATGTTCTTGACAGGTGGCATGCCTGAACCCAAATTATCATCACAAGAAGTCTCAGCAGAAAGATAAATGGCATAAGGTTAGAAAAATACTCCTTTTCAAATCTGGCAAAGGTCTCTGTAAGGTATCACAGAAGAAAGGGAGAAGTTGGCCATTCAGTTTAAAAGAAAAAACATTAAATTTTTTTTTTAAACTGCGAAGATAGTCCTTCAACTCTCAAAACTGACAAAAGAGATTAAAAATCTCAAAAGCATCAGTGTCTATATTCATCTGAAGTTTCAAGCCTCTGGAGGAATGCTACATTTAACATAAAGTTTATTTTAGAAGATAAGGGGTTTGATTAATTGTATCAGTCAATCAGTATAAGATCTGTAATTTCCTTTCACTAGTTTTCATCCCCACATACTGAATACGCAGAGGAAACTTCTTTTCTTCTGGAAGTAAGTCTTGAAGTAAATTGTCCTCATTTTCCACTGAGATCTGAATTTCAGTTTCTTTTTTTCCAAGGGATTTTCTTCTTTTGAAAGGGGAATTTCTTCCCCTGTTGGGGAATAGTAGGAAGCATTTCCATTATGAGCAATTCTAAAACATGCAGATGTCAACAATGTTATAGGAAATAACTGCTGTGCCTGGTTTTCAGTCCTTCCTTTTTGTAGAAAACTAGTTTATTTTCTTCTCTTCCCTTTTTACAGACTCCACACTGGGCTAAAGCCATAGTTCATCCAACATCCAAATGTCCATGATGTTTGTCTTCCATCAGAAGAGGCCATTTTGTACACTTGCTGATGATTTGAAGTAGTCAAAAAACATGAATGAGACGTCAAAAATTAGAAAGAATGGCTTAAAGTACAGTGGACTTCAATTAGTTTTATTTGCCCTCTGTTTTCTGAGCCTGTGTGACACCTTTTGATCCTATTTCCTCAAGTCCACAAACAAGATTTCTTGTTTGTGCTTGGGAAAACAGAAATCATCGTAACTTCTATTCAAGAGTTGAGGCCTTAAGAAAAATACCAGTATATGACAAAATTGGAAGTACTGGTAATACTGTGATAGAAACAACCTATGAGACATGTCTGGGTCTCAAGCTTAACGCAGAATTCTGGCCAGAATTTTCATAGCTAATAGAAGTAATCAGACAGTTGTCAATTAATTCCTTCATGCAGAGAAAGCAAGTTGTGAAACTTGAGCTGGCATTCAGATGTCCTCTGAATTTTGTAGCTTTGATTCAAATTTGTTTCTTGCATGATGCTGGGAGAGAGAAGGAAAGAGAAATATTTGACGTCAGCTATGAAAGCCAACGGTTTGGAGGGTCCTCTCACTTGTTAGATGAAATAGATTGTAGCACTCCTTGTCTGAATGTACTTACATGAGTTCTCAGATAATCTAAGGCACTGTGTGTTTACCTCCCTTGTCATAGATTCAGCCTTAGCATCACAATGGATGTTTCTGTAGCTTCACACATCGTATCAGTGGGTTATCACTTTTCAGTGGCAGTGGTGGGGTGATGAAATTCCTTTCCCTCCTCTTCCACAGGAACTATTACATCATTTCCTGGAAAAGACTCTGTTTCCTGCTCGGGATAGTGCATTGCCAGTTCCTCTTCCGTGTTTTCCTGGGCGTCAATGCTACTTTCGCATCCTCTAGCAGCACAGTTCATCCCCACAATAACAGTGTCGGCCTTCATGATGTATATTTTTTCTAAGGAAGGAAAAAAAATAGTGCTGAGAATAGTTAACCATCACTGCTGACCATAGAGGTGGTTCCTTTTCATGTAAAGGTTTTGTTTATTACTCGGTTTTTCCTTTTTTCCCCCTCCATTCTTTTTTTTTAATCAGAGGCATGCAGATCAAGCCCATCACCATGAAAACACATAACTCACTAACCCACTAAAGCTCTTGGCATTCACACATTATAAGTTGTCTATTTCACTGTTTATTTATAACGAGCTTTTCATTTTGAAATCAAAGCACTGACCATACTAAGTGATAAAGAAGGCCTGCACATTTTATACTACACTGTCTGGTTTTGGACCACTGTCAAGAGGACTCTGGGAATTTTAGATTTTCTAGGATAGACTTGAACCTTGTGTCCAACCAGTTGACCCTATTCCTTTACAAAAGATAAATCAGGTCTTTGCTATGGCTTGGACCACTATATTTCATTCAGAACGATGCTGCAGATCAGACACTGTAGGTTATTGTTCACAATTGCTTGGAGATATTTGTGGATGGCAAGTCAAATCATCACATTCATCCCAAGTCCAACACTCACAGAAAAAACAGAAAGGGCATTTAATAAGGAAAGGTCAGCTCTAGTAATACCAAAAAACCCCTTCAAATAACCTCAAAACTGGGTTTGGAAACATTGCCAGAATGTCTCACGTAGACTACCTCTCAGGTAACAATTCCCCCCCTGTGAGTAAGCTTCCTCGCCTGACTTTATCTCCTACCCTGCCATGGTCAAAGAATTTATGGGAACATATGGGAGACACATTTCAAGCTATTACTGTGAAACCAAGAGAAGGAAATGATAGACATGTGACTCATTAAGTATTACAGCATCATTTTCCAGCTAGCGTATTTTCCAGTTTCCAAATTTCAAATTTCTTCTGCAAATTTACATCTTCTGCAGTGAAAAAGAGGAGGAGCAACATTTTTCTGTCAGGTTCATAAGTGACTAAGGCAAATGTGAAAATAAGACGACATTCTATTGAAATGAATAGATACACTGGAATTTGTGTGTCAAAGGTTCTGGAGATTTGGCCCCAATCTTTGTTAGAAGCTCTGGACACTTTTCAGCTTACTAATAATCTCAAAGTGACATCACGTGTCCATGGTTGAAAATTTGAAAAGGCAAGAGGAAAAAAAAAAAGCAAGACTCACCAATTCGATTATTTGTGTAGTCTCTCTCTCTCGAATCTATAGGGCAATCTGGGGCATTTCCATTGCTCTGTGTCTCATCAGTCAGACTCAGATCAGGACTACATGCTTTTTCTGTGCTGCAGACCAAGTTATTGTTGGTTTCCAAAGGAAGGGCTCTGTCAATTAACTCCTGCTCTTCTGGCCCACTGTCAGTAGGCAGTAAGATCTTCTGCCAATACAAGGAAGAGGGGAGAGTAGAAGTGGGGTGAATGTAAAAACAACACTGAAAATTGCAATAGGTCTACGTAATCCTTCTGTGGCAGTTGGAATAACACACTGACTTGTGTGACTGGAGCAGTGAGATAAAATGGGACTGACGGACAAAGTTCTCCCAGAAGGTAGAGAAGGCATGCTCATCCTGTGATTTTGGGTCTTGTCCCACAGAATGCAACATGAATGGCATAAGACCAAACCAAATACTCCTTTCGCAAGCAAGATTGGCCGCATCACATTACTTAACACTACATTAAACATCGCCCAAGACACAAAAGTTCAAAGTCCTAGTACATCTAATCTCTGCACCTAGAGGATCATGCATCGTAGAGAAAAGTCCAAACAAAAAGGCTGGCACTCTTTAACAGGATATTTTAAAATATTGTTATAAGTGATCTGTTTTGGAATATTGTTCACACTTACTGCATATTTGTTCACTGGATCAGAACCTGCAACGGAAAGAGGAAAAATTACCATAAAATTCACAGCAATCTCAAGAATGTTAATATTTGCTCTGAAATATCACCTAGCCACATCCTAAACTTCTCCACTGCCCAACCTACCTGCATTATGCTTTCTTTACCACCGAGGGCACGCTTACATGGCACAGCTGAGGTGAACAGGCAATTGCTGCCAAGGCTCTGAGGTCCTGTTCTCCCCAAGACCCTTTGCGACCATCCCTATCACTCTCCCCACATCACAACTGGTGTTCATCTAATGAAATGATGAACCAATTAAGCTTCTAGATAAGCAGAAGATAGGCTTATTTGAAAAAAAGTACAAAAATGTTAATAACTTTCCACAACAAGTTGGATCAGTTCATCTTGTGGTCAGATTAATATTAAGGGATATGGAGTATTATGCAAGGATGGAGGAAGGGAACACTGGGGAAAGAAGAGAGTGGGAAGAAGAGAGTGTACAGCATCCTTCTGCAGTACAATGAAGCTAGACGGGCTCAGACCTACTAATTTCACCCTGACATGCAGCCACCTTTATTTACACAGTGCATCAGCTCTATCATGCTGCGCAGTAAGGCCTTCTACTGTGTAAGGCAAGTGAGGAAGCAAAAATTCCATTTTGAGAAAATTGAGCTGCACACAGGGGGTTTAAAATCATATTCCTGAATAAATGAGTATAAAAAGCGGTGGTCATCAGGAGAATCTAACACAACAGAATAGATCAGTCAACGGAAATGGAAGTGCTGAAGGGGGTTTAGTTAATTGGGCAAAATGTCTGTACTCTAGGGGATCTGTACAGGTTGCTATGGCTAACAGCCACTTTTTTTGGAACACGTCTCACAGATCGGATTGCCTAGAAATTAGCTGGGCACTGTTCCAGTAAAGCCTTCCTGCACTGACGCATCACCCAACCGTGCCGGCGCAGTGGGAAAAAAGTGCCATCTAGTGGCTTTGTCACATCCAGAGCATCACCTGCCCGTGTGACAACACGACTAGCCTTTTGCATGTCAGCAGAGACATACTTTGGACATTAAAAACTTCCACGTTTTAAATTCAAATTCCATAAAATAAAGTTCCATATTAAAACTATCCACTTATTTTTTTAGACATACAGATTACAATTCCCGGTCCATCAGTCACTCACCTTCAGATTTGAGCCCGGAATTGTGTGAAGTGACCGGAAGCAGATGTGCTGATAAAATAAACCATTCATTTAGTAAAACTCATCATGGAGCTACAGGCTCTAACAGCTTTACCACACCCACTGGTCTACAACCACCCTACAACCTGCAGATCCTGCTTTCTATAAAAGAGGGAGTGCAGTTCCAGAGGCACACCCCACATGTAATGCTAGGCAAAGCTACAAAGAGCCAGTATCAGTAAAAATAACTCTTCCTCTCCTGCTCAAAGTCTAACACTATGCCAGGAACCAACAAATACTCACAAAACACTTCAGGTATCATTTAATATTAGTGTCTGTGCTGAGAGAAGAAACCACTGCACTCCATAAATTCACAGCTGCTTCATTCTTTCTCTCACGTTCTCCAACACGCTGCATGAACCTTTATCTGGACTGCCTCCACCAGGCAACAGTAAAGACTCTTTTCCCCAGCGACCTCCACAAAATTTTGGGATATCTGAGTTCCCACCTGGCATATACTTGGAGATCAAACAGCATGCTACGTATTACAGCTTTAAAAACTCACACTTTCCTTTGAGGATGAGGATCCGCTTCTTGCAAACCTTCCATTTCCAAAATAACAGCATGCCCACAAGTAGCACTGTCACAGAGAGAACCACTCCCCAAAGAACTAGACCTATAGCACAGAAAGGGAAAGGGAACACAGGAAAGTCTAAGAAAAGGAAGAAGGGGAACTAGTAGTAGATCTATGTGTTTGGACATAGAACCACGGACAACATTTCACAAGTCATAGGGGATTTGCAGGAAGCTCTCACATAAAAATTACATTTACTAAAGGTATATCCAAATAAAACATGCTAGACAGATAAGTCCTTTATCTTTGTTACCTCCCATTGTCGTCTCCCCCTTGGCTGAGGTGGGAAAAGTGCCAGCCCGAGCGTTCTCCTCAGGAGTTGAACTGGGGTTTTCAGTTGTTGTGCCACTTAAAATGACACTAGCAATGGTCACCAGGTTCTCCTCAAACCTCCTTAGGTCAGAGCTATTTGTTTCATTGCTGAATCTCATGGACAAAGCGCTTGGGGTGAGGTAGGTGGGCAACTGGTCCAGGCAAACCTGATCGTGGGTGGCATTGCCTTTCCTTAGTTTTACTTTGTTTAACTCGGCACAGCTAGGGAATGAAAGAGAACAGTGTATGGGCACTAGAGGAAGCTGCCATGGTACAGGATAAGTAAGAGTTTTTTCCACATGACAAACATCCCTTTGGTCATTTTTTTACCACCGGCATTTATTGCTTTCAGTGAAAAAGTCATCAGCCTTCTTCTCACCCCTGTGGCATTAATTCTTGACCTGGATGCAAACCTGATGTGTGTATAATCCCACTGTACTCAGTAAACTAAAAATGAGGCCAGAGAGATTCCTTCCTTCCTCCAGTACAGGGCTGTGCAACAGGTATAAAGAGAGGCCTTCTAAACTGTGCACGTATGCCCAAAGCTATCCCATTGCCTCTAAGATAAATTTGTAGACTTTGCACCAGAAGTGACAGTTGTTCCTTTTCAACCTTTAACTGTAATTAATTAGTTGGTCACTTTAAAGAACTATGGACTTACTTCGTGTGAGGCTTGCAGATGTCAGTGCTGGAGTTTTGATCAGAGAAGGTTCCAGCGGGACACTTTTCACAAGTGACATCAGTTGTTGAGGTGCCTAAATAAAAATAATGACTGAGGACTGAACAACCAAAATGTACCAGGCCTACGGCCAAGATCAGAAAAGATACGCCAGGCAGGTAGGAATTCCTACCTCTGACTTTGACTCCAAAACCAGGCTTGCAAACGGTGTGCTGCTGGCATCGTATGCAGGTGTTCTCAACGGCGGTTTGACAGAACAGGCCTGGGCGGCACTCACACACGCGGCTGGAATTGAAGGAGCAGGGCTCTTTCTCCACAAGGTCGGGTTCTGTGGGGAAGAAACGGACTCTGCAAGGAAAATGCAAAGCAGGGGCCAAAGCTGAGCGACATCAGTTCTGATGCTCAGGAAGCAGAACAGGCTGGTGGCACTCTTCGCAATGGCAACTCAAGTCATGAATAATTGGAGAAGCCTGTAGACAATGGCTTGTAATATCAGACAGAAAGCAGAAATCGGATGTGGACAGCATTGGATGAGAGTGAATTTGAATTGATTTTTTAGGTAGTTCCAGGTCACACAGGAAGCTATACTGATTATGTGCAAGATATCATTCTGCTCTCTGAATCAGTAACCAAGGATGGATAATTTTGCTGCTGGAAATTCTAAATGAATAAAATATAAATAAAGTGTAAACAAAACATATAGAGAGAATATAACTGTGAGGTATGTGTGAGGGAAAGCAAACCTTTTGCGCATGATACACAAGCGTCACATCGTGGCTTTCTGGATGCTTCATTCACATATTGTTCAGGTCCACATCTCATGCAGTCTTTATCCGGGTCCCTAGGACATGCCTTCTTTTTAACATAGCCTGGAGAAAGAAAAACAAAATGTGCAGGATACCTGTTCAGAATCACAGGAGACAACCATCCTGAAGGGCTCTTGTATGCTCATTTACCTGTTAGACACGCTACCACAGTCTTCTCTTTGCACCTGTGATTTGGTTTCCCTAGCACACTTTTGCCTTTCCCATTGAAGTGTGAAGAGATCCCCGCTGTCCTGTCACAGCAGCACTGTGGTATTATCACAGTCGTTATGGATTGCTGCAGAACGGGCACATGGCGAGTCATTTGCTGGCAGTTAGAAAAGCCCACCAAGGCTGCAGTGAGGGCAATATCATCCTGCCATTACTAAGTTCCCAGGAAATTGTTTTTCATGTTTTCTTCTTGACTATAGCAACTGAGTCCTGATATTTTGCTACCTAAGGCATCACTTTTCCTTTCAAAAGCTGCCAGAATCTCCTAGGTGCACATGGACTCACGCAGGGACAAGCTCATCTCCCATGTCCAAAATGGGAGGTTACAAGATGGTACTTCCTGAGCTGTGCCCTGTATAACCCTAGCAGGTTTGCAGTAGGTTGCTTTCCGAGTGGTCCTGCTGGTTTTACAGTTGCCTTAACAGGTTTAGTTTTCCAATTATTTTCCTTTAAACAAATCAAATTACATATGAATGTCTTTCTGATGCTGGATGTATATCCTATACATTTTCTCTGCTCAACTCTTCCAGCTCACCTGAACTCATTGCTCACAGTTTGCAAGCACACCAGCCTGGATCTCACAGACCTTCTGGGCATGTGCAGCATGCATGAAGCTGAGCAGCTGGCTGAATTAGGTGACCTCTGGAGGTCTTTGCCAAACTTAAGCTATTCTATGATTCTGTTTGTGTCTGGCAATCATTTTCCAGTGACTAGCTTTTAAAAGCATCCATCTGGCAAGCTAGGTACACTAACCAGCTAGAGTAAGGGAAAGGCTGGGACATAAGCATTCCTAATGTTTCAGCTCCTGAAGCAATAGATGAGGTAAAGAAATTAGAAGGTGCAGGGGTCAGCTGTAGCCTTACCAAGAGGTGGAAGGAAATACCAGAAGGTAAGGAACAGAGGCAATTGCAGAAGCAAAAGGAAAAGTTAAAGCAGCAACATAAAGATAGGCAGAGTTGAGTGTTTCACAGATAGAAAACAGTAGAAGAGAAATGAATCCTAGTTTCAGCATTCAGCCTGTATCACCCAACCACAAAGAGTTAACCCCAGGGAGGGGGAACCTGGCAGGGAAATAATTTTGGCAAGCACGATGTAGGAGTGCAGGTACAAACAGCTGTGCTATATTTGGCCCACTAAATACCACCAGACTAGCCTGAACCACATCACTCCACCTCCTCAAAACTACTTGTCTGAGACTATTCTTTTCAAGGTGGGGGCTGACTGCTGAATCTCAGCTTTAGGCTGCACACATGTATACCTGCACTGTGTCATTTTCCCTTTCCTCCCCCAAAAGCTCTAACTTCAGTTATGTGAGATTTCCTGTACACATGGGTTACTCCCTTGGGGGTGTGTGCCCCAGGTGCAGTAGCTTTGAAGCTTGCCTAGCAGTGTCTCCTGGTGCTGTTCTCCACTGACTGAGTTCACAGATAACAACCAGATAAAAGCCTGAGCAGTAGGAACACGGGTACAGAAGAAAGTACGTGTACTGAAAGTAAGTAGATGCAGTGTTTTTAAGTGTTTTTCTTTTGTGGGTATGTGCATTCATTCACTCCTGAGGATTTGCTGTTAGCTGTGAGCCAGTGTGCTCGGACTGAAAGCTCTTCATCTATGGCCTGGAACGCCAAGGAAAGTAAAGCCAGGCTGCATCAAGAGCTCTAGGTGCTCCACTTTGATTAAACAGAGTTTTAGAAAAGCTTATCTATTTATTATTAGTGCACGAGTAAATGTCAAAAATTTCCTTTCAAAAAAAAAAATAGAAAAAGAAAAAGAAAACATTTCTATAAGAGATGGATGATGGTGAAGTACCATGAAATGCCCCACCCACTGAAGGGTTTTTCGGCCAAAAGGGGGAGTTTCAGACATTTCCAGGACTCTTGTCTCACCAAGGGGTTTCCTGCTTCAGTCCTCTGTGCCTCTGAGTCACAGCCAGCGTCCAGCAAAGCCCATTGTGTCCCCTGACAAGGGCTGTTCCCTTTCTCATGTGAGACACATTCTAAACTGTTGTGACCATGAAGACAATGACACATTTTCTACACCTTCATTTCAGATTTTTTGTCTCTGATCAGAAACTTATTTAGCCTAATTTCACTGCCCTATTTCACACCTTGAGGCAAGCTGAAATGAATTCTTAAGCCTGCCTACTTCTAGCTACTTCAGAGTGTCAAGTCAACTGATAAAAAAACACATTAAAAATTCTAGCAAGTTATCTTGTTTGCCATTTACAGATTGTTTGCATACAGACTGAACAGGAGCTGGGTAGTGGAGAAAAAGTTCACCCCTGGATCCACACTAGACAGTGATTAATGAAATTGCACTTTTCTGGAGAGACAAAATGCAATTCTGCAGATCTACATTGTTCCCACTATCTCTATGAGAAAGGCTCCATGTTAGTTTGACTGAATTATAAACATACTGACCTGGGGGACACTGGTAACAGCAGCTTCGTGAAGTTTCATCATAGAACCAATTCTCACGTGTATCACAAGAATGAGATGGGGTTAATGATGTCTAGAAATTGAAGCAGACGAAAGACACGATTAGAAAACAATTAGTTCTGATTAGAACAGATCCTGCTATCTGTCTGAGGTGATGGTAGTTGCAGATGGCAAGGAAAAGCCTACAGCTGTTGGAAAGTTCAAGTATCCCCAAAGCAACTAAATTACTGTTGACCATATGCTGAATATGCAATATTCAGTGTACTTTGTAATAATTCAATATGAGTCTTCACTCAGCAAGCTCTTTTGCCTGGAAGTAATTTAAACACAGGAATGGAACACCTTAGCCCAATCAAGCATTTCAGCACTCAGAAACTAACTCTTTGTTTCATACAATAAAAAGGGCAGTGCCATTGCCCTGCAAAGATGTTTTTCAGCCAATGCTCCAAACACCCTTTGAAACCTAGATGCAGGATTACTAAGAAAAGCTTGTCTATTAGTCTGTATCTCCTTTAGAAATTTTGTAGTAGTTAGCAAATTTTTTTAAAAAGGCTAAAAATCACTGTCCTGAAATGATCCCATGTTAATTTGAAATGAGGATTTTTTAGAAAATTAAAAAAAAAAAGAATCCCTAACATCTGTAACTGATTTCCATCTGAGTCCACTGGAATAAGTGGTGTCACAGCCAGCATCATCTAAATCTAGCTAGACTGGCTGTAACCTACAAAGATAATTCTTGTTCACAGCAAACATGTCTTTCTGTTCCATTATTCATACAGTCATAATGCTTGAATTTAGTGACCTAAATATGTGTTTATTATAAGCCAATAAATTGTTTTACTTATCATCATTTTTGTATGGCAGGGCCACCACATGCTCTGGGAAATTACAGTGCTACAAGTTTTCTGATGAGAAAATCTGATTTTTGAATTTGGCATCTCCCTTAATAATCCCCAAAAAATGCTGTTATCTAAGTTTCATTTTCAGTATTTGCTAGAAGGTATAAATGGCAATTTTTTGTAAAGACTCAATCAACAGATCTCCCAGAGATTTTCCCATAATACTGGCAGGGCAGTTAAATATTTCAGAAAACCTGCATCTCACTTTCTGCAGATTAATTTCCCATTGACCTTTGAAATAATACCTACTGTCTGCTACCACCTTTATATGCAGTGCAGAATCTCACTACCTAACTACTTTCACAGCTGTATTCTCCTGTTTAATGTGCTGTTCTTTGCACAGCAAGACCATAAAACACAGAAGTTAATTAACTTGCCCCAGGTTACATCAGAAAAAAGGAACTTTCAGACAAGGAGGAAATTAACAAAAGGGCAAGAAATAGTAACATATTGAAACTATTACATTTCATCCAGCTTGAGTAACAGAACTGAGAAGTCCTGCCTGACACATTTCTGCTCTAACCACTGGGCCACACAGCCTCCCTACAAAGCATTTTTTCTAGCTCACTGTATCGAGGAAATAGCAGATCTCTCGTTGCTCAGCCCGACCCAAATCAAGTTTACAAACGTGCACCTTCTTTTCTGAAGAGGGAGCCCTAGACTGCAGGAAAAGGAAGCGGAATCTCCTTGCATCTGTGTGGAGAAGCACCCTGGTTAGCCAGCCCCTCTGAGACTAAATCAACTAAGCAGGAAATGACACAACGAGACCAGTCCCTAGACAAAGGGTCATTCAGGAGTCACTTCAGTGCTATGAAGCGAGTTAACTAGTTTTATAAAGAAAATGTAAGAAACAACAGCATCCTGGCTGTAGCTAAGTAACCCTGGATGAGTTTCCATTCCTGGTTCTCCTGGGCAATGAACTCTGGCTGCAAATGACGTTCAATTTTAAATTGGGGTGGGAACCACATTCTTGTATGCAGCACATAAGCTTACAGCTTATTTAATTGTCTCTTTTGGGTTTTAAATAGATGAATAGTGCCTGTGTAAAAGTGTGAGCGGAAGGGCTGCTTTTTAAAAAAAGCTACCTTGTCTGAAATACTGAAGTCAGGAGTTTAGGACTAGATTCTGCTTTTAGTTACAGCAATGCAAATTCTGATTCTGAATTTGACCTGATGCTAGTGCTGTGATAAGTTTCTGCATGAACTATGCAGACACACTACAGATATTATGAAAATATACATACAAAAGAGAGTACTCAACCTTTTTTCTTTCCTTTCCACAAGACGGCAGCTATATACTACAGCCAGCTACAAAATACACCACATCCGCAGCTTCACAACAAACGTTCCTTTCCAGTATCCAGTTAGGAGCACAGCTTTGTAGCCACCCTTACTGTTTACTGAGCCAAGCCCAAGGTGCTCTGCTGTAAAAGGAAGTCATTTTAACAAATCATGACCCAGTTTCTATGGCTGAGAAACCACCTTCTAGAGACCTCACCACTTCTAATCCGTAGCTATCTGTAAAACGTCCAAGAGTTGCCATCTGTTCAGTAGAGGTGTTTCACCAGCATGAAACTTACTATAGATCCTTTCAGTGATAACTAACGTATAAATCAATGCTCAGCATCTGTTATCATCTTCCCATTCTTGTCATTTTTTTCTGTCTAAATCCTACAGCTGTTTGATTCCTGCTAGCAATGCAATGATGCAAAGTTCTGCTGTAAAACCAAGTAGGAAAGTCAGCCCTTTGTAGATGGCGTCCTTTAAGGTAAGGACCTGAGTGTAAACCAAGCGCCCACACCTCCAGCACTTCTGGCTTAAAAGCTCAAAATAAATCACGTAAGCAAAACTGGCAGTATAGAAAGTGTCACTAAAAATGACATGGGTTCTGCTTCTTAAGCTATGCAAAGTGTTTTGTAAGCTAAAATTTAAGTTTTAATGCATCTGGAATAAAAAGATCTTGCACTAGAACCCACCAAAACTTCCATGGATTTTTGAAGGAGTGAAACAAATTGGTGCGCAAAAGCAAAGAACGTGCCTTGAAGAAATGGCAGAGGTTTTAAGTTTTCCAACAGTTTCAAAATATTTTAAGTCTTCAGTAAAATGATGGTGCCAACCAATTTTCTGCAGAGGTTTAATTAGGCTCCTTTTGGGAAAAGGGCAAAGGGAAGTCAGCCACATAAGGACAATATAATTTTCATTTTTTGTCTATGTGTAATGAATATCAGAGTAATAAGTTAACTAAAACAAAAGATAACCAGACAAAGATATCAAGTGAAAAGGGAACAAAAATATGCATTATTAGCGGGTAGCAATAGGCCTGAACTGAGGTAATTTACTCACTCAGTGACTGAATATGTGAATTATTTCAGTTTCACCACCTGAAACTGCTCTTCCCACATGTAAAATACCACCTCCAACATCTCATCTGCAATTAGGGAAATTAGGGTGCAAGTATGCAATAAAATATTGGCTTGTTTGACCTTTTATTTTTATGAGCTCAGTGTTTATAATTAGGAAGAGATTGCTGGAAACAATTCACCGAGAAACACAGGGAATTCTGGATTACAAATTTTCCAGTCCCAGTCCTTTCAAGAAAGAGTCCTTCTGGAAAGATACTTCATGCATTTTCATGATTTGACCCCTATCTTAGATCTCTGTGTACAGGAAAACTCCAAGTGAAGTGTTTGGGTTTTTTTGTTCCTCAGCTGTTGGCTACTCCTTTTTAGTGGCAGAAATCTGGATATCAACCATCAAATCCATCCAAATTTGGAGAGACTGCAGAATACTTAATGTATATTTGTCTTTCTGTTCCTGGACAGAATGACGACTGAGTGCTGGAGTTATGAAATATTATAATGCTGATTAACCAATACTGTTAAAAAGCAAAAAATCTTTCATCGGCTTAGCAAAAAAAAAAGCATCAGATTTCCATAGAATTATGGATGCATCATAGGTGCACAACTTCTCAGAAATTAAGGCTGTTGAACTAACACATCTATTTTCAATAGCAACTTATGATTTCTATATAGTGGTAAGCCTACTATAAACTGCAGCTGGAACACAAACCGGATTTCGAATCATCGCCTGGTAAATATCAAAATTACTTGGGTGAACTCCTGTTGTTTGAGTAGCCCAGTACCGAGAGCTTGGACCTCCAGGCTCTACCCTGTATAAACCCACAGCGACGTGACAGCGAGGCCACTGCAAGGCTGAGGGCAAGGCAAAGGCCCTGGAGCTTAACGTTCAAGGTTGGCGGTTCCGTTCCTGGCTCAGCCTTAGATGTGTTACTTGCTGTACTGGGTCCAATGTCTACCCACAATTACGGGTATTTTTGTGGTGGCAGCACCGGGGAACCCCAGGCATGTTCTGTAGGGCATAAAGGACATAATGTCCCTGCAGTCCTGCTGGGTCCTTGACTTTAGATTTGCTTGCTTTTATCAAATCTTGTCCAAACTGTTGCCAGTGGTGCTGTAAACGCTCCTCATCCTACTAACGCTCATAATTCAATTGCTAAGGGCCAACAACTGCTCTCAGGATAGGTTCTGCTGCAGCAGAACTTACAGTTTACATTCTCTACCTTTTCCAATAAAACATAAAAGCTTTTTTCCATTTAAAAACTTGGGTAAACAGTGCTCAGGAGGACGTTACATGCCGTTTGGAACCAAAACAGCCAGGGGAAAAGCTAGCTGTCTTCTAACACTGCGGCTACAAAGGAATCTGGTGACAGCACAGAATGATCCTCTTTAGATGAGGGAAATTCTCAGAAAAATTCCCACCAACAGTAGCAGCACTGATCTCCCCAGCAGCGATACATACTGTTCTGAGCTGCATAGACCTGTTTTGAGCTGTATTACCAACGGCTGCAACTGCGGGAGCCTGCTACGTACGGGGTTTCCGGTATTGTGACTGAGATGATGGTAGCCAGCAGTGGAAGCTTTTAAAGAAAATGTTCCTCTTGTCAAGCCTTAATCAGAACTAGAATCACCTAAAAGAAGGGAGGGAATCACAATGGCAATGAGGATAAAAGTGAAAAATTAATGTAAAAAGTGGGACTGTATCATATGAGGGCTCAAGAAGAACACGGCAGAAAGGACGAGCACATGTGCTCTTACTGCTCTCATCGCCAACAAAAATCTCAGCATTAAGACATTTCAAATATATTTCTGGTAGTGAGTGCTTGGAAAAATCCAAGCATTATAAAATATTGAATAAGATACATAAAGTTAACTACAAAATAGTGGAAGTCTCCTACCTTGGACCGTTACCGCATTTGTTAGTATGAACTTAAGTCAAAGAATCCTTTTTTACTGTGTTCTAGGATGACAGTGTAAATTTAACCCTCTCTCAGAAAAAAAAACACAAACTGAATTACTTTGACTCAGGATTGTGTGAATATCACTAATAAGACTAATTTTTCTAGAACAAAATCAGTTTATTTAAATTAAGACTCTCTGTTAGGCAGAAGCTGAAGGTTAAGGTTTGACTTAGCAGGTCCTAGTTGCTCATAAATAGCTCTTGAAATGAAAGGAAGGGATAAAGTAAAGGAGACAGAAAAAAGTTTCAGCTTTGCATTACAAAACCTCAGCGCTATCACCTTCTTACAAAAAAAGCATCAGCTGCAAGTGTTGGGGTGGGAGGTTCACCTTCTTGATTCCATGGTGCCTGTGTGTAGAGGCCCTACAAAAAAGAAAGTACTAAGAAATTCTCTGCTTACAGTGCTGGCCATTTCTCCTGGCTCCAGTATGCTTACAGAAACTGTCAATTACTCAGTGAGAGAAGATTCACTTCACCAATTTTGCCCCTTACTACATATTTAGTAGGGAAGGTTTCGTGTGTAAGAACTTTCAGTTCTGCCCCATTCCCTCCTCCTCTTCCTGGAATGCCTAGAAACACCGAAGAGTATGGGATGATCCATACTCGGCAGCTAGCATGTGGCTTTGCTTCATCAAGGAAATCTTCAGTAAGTTTTACAGAACAAACTCTCCTCATCTCTCCAACAGAATGAAATGCAGTAACCTCAAAATCCTGTTTAACTAACATTCAAAGTATTTTTCTCATTCATCTTTTGACTGTCCCTCCTCATTATCCACTCTTGTCTGAATCTCAAGGCAGACAGAAACAGAACTCAGGTTCTGATAGGGAAATTCAAAATTTTAGCACAATTTCACTTTTTAAGGCATTATTTCCTAGTGTTTCCTAAAGAAAAGAGAAGATGATGTACATTTCCCTGTCCCTTCTCCAAAAGATAATCCAGTCTCAATGAAGAAATACCAATTTTATCCCAATGACATACAGTATTGTGCATTAGTACTTGCAGTTCTGTTCATTAATACGTTACAAAAAAACCTTTACAGTTCAAGGAAGATCACAGCAGTACCGGTGGGGGTGAGGAATCCAGCTGTGGTGGACACTACATCTTTGTCCTTCACTCTGGTTCTGAGGAAGCTCTGAACGGATGGGTCTGCACTAAGAACGGATTAGCAAAGCGGGAATTAGCAATAGTGTGTCTGTTAGAGCTATGCTAATCCTGGGGCTCTCTGACATCCAGCGGTGCAGTCCCACTTCCCTTCTCTTGCCTGTAACCACATTTTCCTTCCCCTCTAACTCCTTGATTGTTTAAGACAGAGCAATTGCGTTTCCAGAGGATGAATCAGTTCTAGGAGTTCATTTGAATAAAAACTCTGCTCTCTGAATTTGTGAAGTCGGCTTTCAGGGGATTACTGCACTGAAACAACTCACCCTGTGGCTGCACAGTCACTTGCACTAAATTCAGCGCAAAAAAGTTGGTGGCACTATGTAGCCACAAGCAGGGTCTCACCTTGGCGTGACAGGTCTCTGTTGACAAGTACAGCTGTAACAGGAAACCTCACGGACATTATTTCTGCATCTGTATCAGAATTTATTTGATCTGGATTGGACATGAGGACACAATGCAGAGATCATGCTGCTTCATGCCAGCTGCAGAGGAGCAGATAGATATTTGACCTAACAAGAAGGTAAGCTGATAAAGTAAATGACTGCCAGTGTAGCAGAAAGCCTGCCACCACAAAGGTAGTTAGTCCACATTTTTTGAATAAATTTGAACAAGCCATGAGTTAGACTAGTAATTTGCATAGGTGTTTGCTCTAATACAAGGAGTTCTTAGATTGGATTCAGCGTACTGGTTCAACTGGAGGGTGACAGAGACAGAATTTCACTAATCGTTTCCTGCCTGCACTTCAAATAAAGGTTTTTGATTTATCAGGAGCTGGAGTACATCTTGTGAAAGAAACGACCACAATTCATATCTGATTTGAACTGCTCTGTAACAGGACGACTGGGCATCCCTTGGCTTAGTGCTTTCATTGACCTATCAGGCCAACCATTTTTTTCTTTTTTCAAAGTGCTGCAGATCAAGGCCCAATTAAATAAAGTAATCATATTTGATACAGAGTGTTTGAGTTTTTCAGTGCTTGTTTTTGAGAATTCGTTTTAAAAAACCAGACTTTTCGTATCTCTTCTCACTTTCCTTGTAGCTATAAACACATTTGCTATTCCAGTTTAAATAATGGCAATTGTAAAGATGGTGCTGAATTCAGTGGGCTACTCTGCAATTCAGTCAGGACAAGGTTTGACTCATTCATTTATGGTCTTTTGAGCTCATAGAGAAAAAGTGATGGTGAGGCAGAGTAAGAAATCAGCTTGCTACAAATGAGCTGTAAGTCAGGAAGAAAGCATATTACGGTAAAAAAAAAAAATCTTCCACCAGCATTGGCTATTCTAGAACTGACTAATACTGCAGCAAAATAGTTGACTCCCTTTCAAGCTTCTATCCAAATTCTGACAGTACACAAGAAGCTGATAAGCTAAGACTTCAAGTAGCCAGGCTTCATCTGCTTGATAGTAAAAACATTACTAACAAGTGAGAATTAAATGAATATTAAACAAAACACAAACCCTGGACTCAACTGAGGGGGAATATGGTTTAAAATATGACCGATAAGCTGTGACTTGCTCACATTAAAAAATATCACTTGTAGTCTACCAACAATAAAAGCAAAGGTTGCTGTGATAGAGGCAATACAGAAAGTGAAAAGCCAGTTGTTTATCCCAGCAGATCTATGTATTTGTTCCAGGTAACTGATGATTTTGCAGTGAGTCTGAAGGTTGACAATGAGTATCAGAAAACCAAATTTTCTTTCTGTCCCTTTCATTTGTGAACAAAACAGAAGTGATGTCAAATACCAAAAAATACTATTTTTTTTCTATTGCCTTTCTCCTAACGCAGTTTGCATTCAGCAGACCAGGCAAGTTTATCTGAATGCCCTCCTAGGTATTCCTCAGGTGGGTAAGGACTACAGACTCCAATCCTATAGAAGAACAGTGATCCTTCTATATTTCAGGAAGGAGACAGTGGCAGGACAGATAACCAGGGCAAAATAGAGCAAACTTGCAATGTGGGAGGGGAATTTACAACTAAAGACACAAGGGCAAACTCCTACTCTTACCAAAAGAGCCAGGAGGATCTTTTTCAAATGTCTACGAAGAGGATGCAGGACTTGGTTATTTTCAAGGATCTAATCATCAGTTTCTTGTTAAAAATCTCCTGATAGCCCAAGTGATGTGCTGTATCATTCATTTACAATGTACAACAGGTGTGTTAGGCTAGTACGTGCTCATATTTCCACTGCAAAGGAAAATAACCATTTTCAGGATCCAATACAGTGTGCAATTACTCACCTACTTCACCTTACCTGTGCAAAGAGCCTCTGCAACAGACCTTTTTTTTTGTGTGTGTGTGTGCATAAATATCAGTCAAGGAAATTACCTGGATTTATGCCAGGTGCTGAGGGCTCGTTGCCACGTGATCCACTCTGGAGGAGGGGGGGGCAGCACGGAAAGCAAACCCACAAGAGATGATACGATCTGAGCAGGGAGCTAGCTTGCATCTCCAGCATCAGCTGAGTGCAACCAGTGGGCTATGTCTATTTTAAGTCAATTTGATGCAGAAATAATAGTCCATTCATGAGGAAGTCAGTGTCAGAGGGGTAGGCGGTTGTGAAGAGGAAGGTATGTTATTGTTTTGTTTGCCTTTATACCTTTCAATTTGCCAGCCCTGGCTCACATCAGCAGAGTGAGCAGAAGCCCTCCAAACCAAGCTCTGCAAGGAATGTGCTTGTCACACCTGGCCGTCAGAGCAAAAATAAAAGCCGCTTACCCAAATAAATGAGAACAGTCTCCCACCCCTACCAAATCCTTCCTCATTCCCTAGCTGTGACATGCCTAGAGGTACAGTAACACTAGCAATGCCAACAAAAAGATGCAGATCATAGCTCGTATCCCCTGCTCCTGCCTGCAAAGTTCCCAGAGAGGGCAAACTCTCCTCGCTGCTCTGCTTTATACCTTTATCACCCTGTGTTGCATAAAGCCTGTTTCTGTGGATGCCCACTACCCAGCACCCAGTCCATGGGCAGAACAGCCCTGCAGCCCACAGTGCCCCCGGACTTCTCCAGGCTCCTGTGTCCTGAAGGTCTGCAGGATCCTGGTGCCACCCTGCCTTACCTGTGGGGATGCCCGGATATCCTGGAGAAGCAGCAGGAGCCACAGTCCTAGTGCCAGGATGCAGGCAGCCATCTGCAGTGGTGTTAAATCTCCCTAGCTCCCAGCATTGCAGGTTAGATGGCCAGGTTGCTCCTCCTGGAGGTGGAGATCCTCCTGGTATCCAGCCCAGTCTTGCTCTGTGTCTGTTCATTCAGTCCAGAGCCATTCCAGCTGTTCAAGACAAGCAAGAGACAGGCTTTGAGACTCAAGCAAGCTGAGAACACAATTTAGAAGGAAGAGGGAGGGGGGGCTGCCCAAAAAAGAAAAGTGAAAAGAGAACAAAACAAAACCACGTCAATCACTAGTCCCAGAGCTGTCAGGTTTCTGTGAGTCGGTTGCATGCATCAAGGTTGTAACCCGATGTACACGGCTGGCTGGGCAGAAACACAGGCTCCTGAGTCATCTAGGCTGCCCTCACAGAGTGCTTCACCACCCCAAAGCCTTGGCCAGGCACGAGTCCAAGCCCTGCCCCATCTGTCTGCCACACTCTCAAGAGCTACAACCAAGCCTCAAGAGAGTTCCCAGTAAGAAACACTCGTTTTTTTAGTACAGTCATTTTAGTCCTGTTTGGATGAGTGGTGAAAACTCACAACCAACCAGGGTGGCTCCACAAAGGCTTAGGCTTTACACACTGTCATTTAAACACCAACATATCGCAGAGCATCCTCTTGAGAATCCTCTTTCCTCCAGTCCCACTTGAAATCAATTCCTGTTGCTGACAATCATCCCCTGGACTGCTACTCATCATTTCACTCACTTTCATTTGGGACCCTGGATAACATTTTTTGGCTCTGGTGCCTGGAAAGATTTCAGTTGGTTTAAGGTATCACAAAGCTTTCTTATCTGCCCTAAAAGTTTTGTCAAAAGTAAAAGTTAGCTACTTCAAAAAAAGGGCAGACTGCCGTGAAAACCTCTGAGGTGCTCAGGAAACTAATGAGAATTTGAATTCTCACAGACGTGGTGTTTTTGCTTCTCACCCTTACCAGCAAAAAGAAATAAGAAAAAATTGAAAGTCAGATAATTCCTTATTTTATTAAAGACCCACAGCTACCTCACTGCCATCACAACAGAGTACCAAGGCTACCAGCATTCCACAGGGGCCCTGGGATAATGTAAATATCATCTTTAACTCACAAGTGTAACTCTTCTCTTTTTAACTAATTGCCTCTATTTCTTCCTCCAGAACACCATCTTATAGAACCCAGGCATTTTCAGAACATTGCATACTGTGTATTTGACACATGAATCTAACCTCCTTTCTTCACTCTGTCAGGTTACTTCTCAGTTTCTAAGCTCTCTTCCCTATAAAAGCTGATTGTGGCAAGTATGCCTTTAAGGTCTAGAGACAACTAAGCATCTGAATGTCCAAATACTACATTCATGTTTTTCCTAAATAAATAATGGACTAGAAATGTCTTAATCTGGTGTAACAGTATGCCATGAGGCAATTCTCACAATTTATAAGCGCGGTTTCAAATCACATAGTAGCCAGGGCAATTGGTGACCTTTTTTTTTTTTTTTTTTTTTCCTTTTTTTTTTCCTGACCAGCTCCTGTCCAAGGTTTTCTCGCAAATGGACAGGAAACAACATAAGACAAAGCCTGGAAAGTTTTAGCCTTTGTAAGATATACTGCTGAAGTCAACATCTCTGATACAAAAACCAAGTATCCAAGTACAAAAAAATTGTGTGTGAAAGACTTTCCCAGGACCGGCAACAGGGAGAGTTTTCTGGTTTGTTTTCCAGCAAAAAAAAAAAAAGACTGAAATGAGCATACTGAGTATCTTGAATATACACATATGTCAGTTACTTTTTAATCAATGGTGTCAATAATTTTTTAACCCATTGGATAACTTCAAGCAAACATGGCTGAGGATGCAATGTTATGAAGTCTTACAAAGTTTCATGGAAGGAGATGGCTTGAATAAAGAAGAAAGATTCTAGTAACACTCTCACTGAGGGAAAGGCTGCAGTGGGAGACCAGTGTTCTTCAGAAGAAGGAATCCATCTGACATGTCCAAAGTGAACCCAGCTGCCATCCTTCTTAGAACTTCTTATTCTTAAATTCATTCTCAACTGAACTAGATATTGAAAAGGATGGGAAGTGGAAAGTGCTCATTGTTGCTGCTGGCTTTTGGAAATGCTATTATTACATCACACAATGCTATTACAAGCCTGTAATAAGAGCAACAGCAATGAAAAGGGTGCAGAGGCTGTGTTTAATAGGAGTGTTCCAGCCTGCATGCATTTTTAACTGAGTGCATAAATTTCAGACTGTGTGTGTTTTGATTTGAAGTACAATGAAAGGGGCTTTCCAAAAGAAGCCCTATCAGTAACTGGAAGAAGCACCTCTGTTTTATAACAAACCCACGCTACTGTTCTCTAAATGTTGCCTGTATTTCCTAGAAAATAATCCTCTTTTTTAAGATTGGGAAAAAAAAAAAAAAAAAAGCAGAAGAAATAGAAGCAAACAAACAACCCCCATTTCTCTGTTCTTCCATCAGAGACCAATGTCTATCAGAAAAAAAGGGGAAGCCCCTATGACCATGTTGTTATTATTTATAATGTTTATTTGATGACACGCATCTGTCTCTAACATCTGAATTTCCTTTTGTTTTAGGTGTTAAAGGCGGCAATGCCCAAAGACAAGGTTGCTTGATATTTTCTGTTTTAACTAATTTAGTTAATACCGAGCTTAGCTAATGCTTAGGTCATTCTTACACCAGGTATCTGATCTGTGTTATGTTACGTGGAGTTGAGGTGGTGGGTATCAGAGAAGTTCCTGTAAGTCAGCAGTTATTCAAATGTTGCTTGATACCTGCAGCAAAAGAATGCAGAGACCTAGCTAAGCCATGGGGAAACGTCTCTTAAATACATGCCCAAGACATTCCTTCAGCATTTGTCTATTCATTGTGCTGCCAGCAGCGACAGCCTAGCAAAGAAAGCAGTAATAGAATACTGTAAAAGTACCACTGTTATGCACACGCTCAAGCAAAAGTACTCATGACATTTTCAAATTTTGAAATGGCTGATTTTAATCTCATATTCTACTATTAGCATGGTTTCTTGTGTTTTCAAATATGTATGTCCAGTTAATATCTATCTGGCTGTATCGATGAAAAAAAGAAGAGAGAAGTGTCATCTCTAAACATCTGTCAAACAGATAGAGACGACCATGAAATTTAAAAGGATACATATTAAAATAACCTTCTCTAAAATCTGTATTTCAGTGTCTGTCAGTGTTGCTATTTAGAGCACTGCAGTACGCTGATGAAAAATCACTGAACTTTTTCTACTTAGCTAGATGAAACAGCATCAGACCCTAAAACTTCACTTGGAGTCTCAGTAGTACCAAAGGCAGTGCTCGTTGGGATACATGCTACATACTACAGGAGGTACAAATAAAAGGTGGAACTCTTAACAAATTAAAAAATAAAAGGCATTTACTCTAATAAAACACAAAGAATCTCATGGTTAAAGGAAGGAAATCAAGCAGTCACCTCTCTTGATCTATTTATGCGTTTTAGCCATCAGAGATCTCTCTTCCTGGGGATCTTGGAAAGTGACACTGTGGGAACAGCACACAGGGATAGCACTCAGGATCCCAGTGATTTTAGGCATTGTAAGTGAAGCCAACATACCAAACTTCTCTGAAAATCTTTCAGTAGCCCAAAGAGGACAAACAGGAGGGAGGATAACACTGGTGCAATGTCACCTCACTGAGAAACACCACTTAGTGAGGAAGCAATCAGACTTTGAACTAGCTGCAGCTGACAAAGTATTTGAACTTCTCTGAATGTGTAAAAAGGAATAAAATCTCATTTATGCCAAGTATGGCACAGATTGGAAAAATTCTGTCCCTCTATGACACTCTGGTACTGATACTTATTTTTTGGCACATACACTTCTCTTATTCTTAGTACTAAATATTTGTCAATCCATTTAATTATGTCCCATCAACCAAACCACTCTGCACTATGGTAAATACATTGCAGGTGCTCTTGATAACAAGATCTGCAGAGCTATACTGATTGAGCAATTTACCTTGGTACATTTGTCCACTGCGATCAAAAAGGAAGACAGTATAAAGCTCTTGTTGCGTACTTGTTGAAATGCAGCAATGGCTTAAAACAAGAGTTCCCAGCAAGAAAAAAAATGTTTATCATGAGCTGGGGGTCATAATAAAATCCCAATACATAGGGGAAATCCTAAGCAATTTCAGTAACTAGTTCCAGTAGATGGACATTCTCACAGGGTGTTTCTGTTCTCTAGTAAAAATAATAGAAAAATAAATCAGCTTCCTTGTTTTATATGAAGTTTCATACATACACAAACTAGCAATCTAAAATGAAAAGAACAGACTAGTTCTTGTTTGTTTGCAACTTGGGACTTTTGTCTCAATCAGCTGTGCTCCTGCTGAGTATAGAAATTTTTTCGGCAACTAATGAAGAACCAAAGGAAGGATATGCATCCTGGTCTGTTCCCAAGCAATGATAACTCCCCTCCCACCCCCCTGAACTTACCGAATAAAATGTCAAAAAGCACGTATGCGAAAGAGCCAATTTCTGACCGTGGGAAGCTCAGAAATGCTGTCAACAGCAATTGTTTTTGCTAACTGTAAGCCATAATATAGCTGTTGGAAGAGTTCTCCAGACAGCAGAGAACCTAGATGTACTGGGAAAAGAGAATCTTCTCAGCTGATATTACTCTTACTGCAAGAAGTCTTGCTTCTACCAGCATCTATAAAGCCCTCCGCACAAAGCCCATTGACTCCATTCATGTTCCCTAGTTTTCACTACAATTGCTTCCACCCAAATATATCCTCCATTTAAACAGTACAAATATGGCAGTTCTACATCTGCCCTTCCAGAAGCAGCAGGCACTCTTAGTGTCGTTATGCTTACAAATTCAAATTTTCTGGAAGTGTAACTGTGCATTTCTGCTACCAGAGATCTGGACTCAGTGTCTATATGCAAAACAAGGTATGATGATGTGTTTGTCATTTTATTCACTTTTTGATTGGGTTAAGTCATCCA